ATCACACTGGCCATTACRATTTATAAAAAGTCTACTACTCAGCTGTTTGAAAAACATTCCTGCCTTTATGTCTTGACATTTGGGTTTGTGAATGCCAAAATCTCACAGAAGCTGGTGGTAAGTCARTCCTAAACTTCCTAAAACTAAACTGGTTCTTGGCTTAACACTTAGTGGATCGGGGGCACTGTTTTCCCCTTTTGCTCTGTAATAGCAGATTCATTATGATTAAGATGCTGAACTAAGCTCAGGATCCTACAGAGAGATTAGATGTGACACTGATGCAAACTCATGTTTGCTGTTGAATGTACTGGTTAGAACTTTCAGTTTTGTTTAACTTACTCCTAGGAATAGATTTCCTGTCTATCTTAAACATCCTAACTGTGGTCTCTTAAGCCTTGCTAACAGTGCTGTGACTTCTGATTTAATTATCTCAAAAAAGAATTTACTTTGATCATTAAAATGAAGAGTTAAACTTTTCTTTTTCTTTTTTATACATAAAACACTCCTCAATGGATTTAAAATAAAAAGCTGCCTTTTAATACTACGTATAGTACTTTATATACTACGTATAATACTGCCTTTATATACTACGTATTTGCTAACATCAGTAATCCAGCCAGATTTTTTTTTCTCCAAGTGTGACATTTCTCAAACACTAGAAATTAGGTGTGCTACAGACTTTCTTACTAAACTGTGAGAACAAGTGTTGCCACCTAAGAAAAAGTCTGTTTCCCAGTTACCTTTTGGCTAAAGAAAGCCAAAATTTTCAAGTCAGACTTGAAAGCAATATTTCAAGTGATAGTATTTGTTTTCAGTAATACATTTGCATAGTTTTTTTGAATACAGTTYGGAAAAATTAGAAAGTGAAGAACTTTTGCAGATAGCTGAAATGCACTGCTTTAGATGTAACTTCCAAGAGAACTTTGCTGAGCAAGGATGTGATGCCTGTTTTCTGGAAGTTACACTAATCTTGCAGGGRTGCACTTTTAATTTTTGGGTTTTTTTAAACATAGGTGGCTCATATGACAAAAAGTGAAATCTGTCTTCAGGACTCTGCGTTTATTGGGCCAGGACTTCTATTTTTGGACCAGTACTTCAACAGTTTTATTGATGAATATATTGTTCTGTGGATAGCATTGGTAAGTGTTTTATACTTTTTGTTTGGACCATACTTTAAGGAGTGGATTGAGAATKGTCCGTGTCATTCTGCTCTGCAATTTCTGACTTGCTCMCATTTCAGCTGTCACTGCASAGGGAGTGCCAGGGTACCATGTAAACATGTTTTTGGGAGCTGACTGGCTTGCTTTCTTTGGAATAGAGATGTTAAAGTRAATTTACAAATCTCTCCTACAATTATGCTTTAGTCCGTGGGGGGGTTTAAAGTTGTTCTATGAACTGCAGACAAACCTTCTTTTATTAGATCTTGTAAGTGTTCAGTGCTGTTGGATGCTGGGGTTTTGTGATGGTTTTATTTTTAATTCTAAATTAAACCACTCTATGTTACAATGATGTTGTATGTTACACTTGTCACTTGGATAAATTCTAATTAAAATATAGCATATTTATAGTTGGGATAATTGAAAAAAATAATTGGATTTTTTTAACCTATTTTGTTTTGTTCTTTTAAAGTTCATATCCTTGTTTGATATGCTGAGATATGCCAGTGGTGTGTGCCTACAGATTGCTTCTCATCTTCATATACATGTCTTCAGAATTTCATCTCATCAAGCTCCTGTGCAGGTTCAAAACCATAATGACTGATTAAATAGCTCAAGGACAAGAGAAGAAGCAGTTAGGGGAATGCTGAATGAAGCAGCCTCTCTGGTTTTGGGAAGACAGATTAAGCTTTTGAAGAAAAGAGTTTTATGAGAAAATTSACTGTATTTCAGTTATTACCAGATGTTAGAATGAGTAGATACAAAGTTCTGCAGATGCTGTTGTATCAGTACTTTTGAACCAGTATGTATTTCCCTGTGTTTCAGACTATAAATACTACATTTGAAAATGTTGCCATTTACTGTTAGGTTGCTTTAATTCTGTCCTTCCCTTSTGGTGAATGTAGAATGCAAACCACGGTGCTACCAACCAGAATTCAAAGAGGAATTTCACATTTCCCTAACCCAAGTGTCTAATCTTGTAGTATTAGTTTCTAAAATTCTGATGGAACTGCTCTGAAGTGGTAGTCAGATGCACCAATGAATACAGAACCACATTATTAAGACTGGTAGAATGAGGCAGTCGTGAGGTAAAAAATCACCAAATCTCTCTTCTGGTACTTCTGAGGAATAAGCTGTTGGATGAGTAGATAAAGGAAGTACAGCTCAGGAAAATTTTCTTCTACTTCAAAGTACTGCTATGCGTGCCTTTAGAATTCATGCAGTCTCTAGTATCTAAGTACATAACCTACTGCTACATAAAACTGTAGCCTGTACTTTGTTTCAAGGCCAGTTTCTGGTTTTGTAGTCATAATAAGGTCYGTGTTGCACTTCATCCTTATCTAGACTACAGGTAGCTGTGAAAGGAGATGACTCCAACTTTAGCCAGCCTACCTTGTGAGACGATGCCAGCGAAAGACAAAGTTCATTGATACACCTCAGTGTCTGTGGCTCCAGCACCTCCCCATCTGTGTTTCCCTCTGTGGTGTTTTTGCTATCACTGTGTTCATTTACTTATCATTGATGTAATTGTAGCTACCACTGTACTTTATCCAAACAAAAGTGCATAAAACTGAMCCATAATGTAAAACTCTGTAAAACAGGAACTCGAGGCCCAGTATCAGCCTCTCTCTTCCTTTAAGAACAGACCCACTGGGTAACATAGTATGTCCAACTACAGGGCTGTTGCCATTAGAGCAAAGCTGAATCAAAATAGCTTTTTCTCTGTATGAAAAAATGATTACATGAACACAAACCCTATAAGCTTAAGCTCCTTCAAAGAGGTACTATTTGAATACAATTTATGTAAAAAGCTGTTGAATGTAATATCCATTACTAMTTCCAYTTGCTGRTATGTATCTAAGTTCCAAGTACATKAAGTGCTTCCTGAACTATCCAATGAAAAATGCCATGGTTTGTTTTTAAAATACTGCTGCTGCAGCTTCGTACCTGCTTATTAATTCAAAAATACTTCCTGAAGCGTTGAAGGAAGTTTTGAAGTGGTGTATTGTCTGCTAGTCTGGAGCGAATAAAACAGCATCCACCACCATATAATGATCCTTTTGAGGGATAACTGTAACAGTTACTGCCAAAGGACTACAATTTGACTTGACTAATGTCAATTTTGAATGAATTCTACCATTCCTGTTTGAGGCTGGAAACAACACAGCATCTCCACATGATTTTAGCCTGAACCCAGGCCATGGTCRAATAGAAAAGAAGATGGTAATGACTATTTTAGTTTGGCTGAATACTGTAAGCAAATTAACCTCCTGATGAAAAGACACAGGCAACTTCTTTAGAGTGAGATGAGTGGGTTCCCCACAATGGTCAAAAATGTGTCATGCCATTGTAGATAGATAACATAAAGGTTATGATTGAGGYATGTGGATGGTAGGAAAGTAATGCAGAAATCACTCAGAAAACCAGAAACAGGACTCAGTACTAACAARTGGAACCAGAAGGCAATGCTAACAAATAACCTCCTATTGAAGAAASAAAGCAGAACCTGTCAGCTATTTCATAGCCTCCTCCAATTATCCTCAGAGCRCAGAGACTCAGTAGTTACAAATCAGCATCGTTACTCCTTGCTCAGTAGAGGCCCATATTGCCTCAGGCATCAGTGCAGCAATGGAGCTTCATGTTTGCTCCTTTATTGAACCCTACCAAAGGCAGAGCAGTAAGTGTCATTTTTTTAACATCAGTTGCAACCTCATAGCTGAAGTTTCTGCAAGTTAGCCATCACTAATCTGGCRTCCAGACCTGGAGAACCATCATCAGATGACTAGACTAAAAAATGCTAGTAAGCTGAGTATGGTTTTGAAACACATTGTTATGAAAGCATCACATTTGTGTGTGTGGGTGTGTGGATGGTTTTTGTTTTGTCTACTGTTGTAAGTTAAAGCATTAAATATGTTGACAACTAGCTAATTTTAAAAGTGGATTTTCAGGTGTAATGGTTTTCTGTAAACRAACTGCATGCACACTAAGCCAATTGTTTCATTTTTACTTATTTACTGTAATGAGATACATGAAAGATAAATGCTTTACCCTTAAAACTCAGGCTTCCCTAAATTGATAGTCAGTTGGTATTGGAAAAAGTAATGTTCCACCTCAAAGGCTTGTAAAAGCCTGTACTAAATAAATGAGATAGATTTCTTCTAGCAGTGGTTCTACAGAAAGTATATAGCCCAAAATGCATAATGTTTAATTATCTTTACTTGAACTGATATATTAACCTTATCATTTAACTAAAAAATCCGTTTTCTGGACAAATTACAGCACTTTATAAATCTCTTACTACTACAAAGATAGTACTATGCCTAGGCTAACAAAAGAGGTAACGAAATTTACTTTAATTTACCATTATACACATCATCAAACAATTCTATCTGACCTATGTCATACCATGTGAATTTTTATAACTGCTGCTATATCAGCAGACTAAATGTTAAAACTGAAAATCTGCAGCTTGTGAGAAAAGCTTCTATTTGCACAATGTACCTAAAGGCCTCAAGTTAGTATATAAAATCTGGGTAATGCATTTGTCATTAATATTTCCCCTTGTTACAAGTAGGCATTAGAAAAAGTGAAACAATTTAAACAGTCCCATGCTATTGAAAGTGAATATAAAATAGTTAAAAATTAATGGACAGACAGCGAGTGGTTTGGGGTCAATACTGCCCCCCAGTAGTAAGTTTACTAATATATGTTCTTACAACATTAACAGACACAAGATTAGAACAATCCAGGAACACATTTAATAGGAACCTTCAAACATTGAAATCTTAACACCCTTCTAATGCCTGTACTTGTATCATGTTRCTCAGGTACAAGTTGCTCCTCCACTGAGCCGTCAGAATAACATGGACTGAAGAGACTTGCGAACAGTCGCCATCTCCTGCTGTTGCTGTCACAAGGAAAGGAGATGATGCTGAGCAAATGCTGTATCAATATGATTCCTTTGAATTAAATGAATGTCAAATGACTTTTAATAGAATGTTCTATTTTTGCATTTTACTAAGTTCATAGATCTGATACTTACAGTATCCATCATAATCTTTTTCTGCAACATAGCCATTTCCTTGCGAAGTTCATTTTGGGCACCAGCCAGAAGATTTTCATTGCTCTTCTCCAACTCTTCCATGCTCTGAAGTTAAGGATAATATTAATTCAGAACTCCTAAATGTCAAAGGGTTAATTTAAAACAAGCAAACACACCAATCATTATTCATACTACAATTTAATTTTTACAGTGATCACTGGTAATAGATGAATTTGTCAAAAACTTGGCAGACAAATCAGGACTTCATATTCCATTCTGCATTCCTATTTAAACAGTATGTACCCTGAGAAGAAAACAAAACCCTCCAGTCAGCCTCTGTGATGTCTCAGCTACTTATTCTGCATTTCARTTAAGAGTTCTATAAGAGGAGATTGAACAGACATGTGTGASAAATGCTAGGGATTCAATAKTATGACAACCTTGAAGTTAGAACTRTAAATCCCATTACATTTCTTTGCACACTTCTTTCCAAATAAGCCAAATAAAACACCCTGGTTATCTTCCCTTTTGTACATACAATTAAAGCTACCTCTGTGTGTGTCTAGTTGCATTTTCTTTATTTAAGCTTATTTGAGGCTTGGCTTCTACATTTGATCTTCTTTGAAAAAAAAAACCCAACTCGACCTTCTATTCAGTTTTTCCTCTTCGATGAAGACATTCTTGACATTTTGGAACAGTTATTATTTATTAATGYATCTGTAATATACTCTGTAAATTCTAACTATTTTAAACTAAGAGTTGCTCTGTTTCAAGTTTATTTTTCTCAGCTACCAGACTTGGGAAAAAAAACCAAACCAAATACCAAGCTTATTGCAACTAGCTGAAATTTCAAAACCAGCTAGGAAGGAACTTGAACAAAAATCAAGATTTATGAGAAACTGACAGACTTGAATCCCCCAAATATACTGGGGGCCARGTAGCTGGAAAGCAGTCTGGCAGAAAAGGACCTGGAGCTCCTGGAGGACACCAAAAGGAAMATGAASCAGCAGTGTGCCCTTGCAGMAAAAGTGACCAACATTGTCCTAGGCTGCCTTAGGAGAAGTGTTGCCAGCAGGGACCTGATCTTTCCACKCTGCTCAGCACTGGTCAGGCCACAGCTGCAGGGCTGGGTCCAGTTCAGACTCTTCAGTACAAGAGAGACACAGACATACAGGCTAGAGCCCAGCAAATGGCCATGAAGATCATTAAAGCACAGAAGATTTTCTCTTGTGAGGAAAGCTTTTAACTAAAAAAGTAACATTTTTGTGTGGTTGTACTCAAAACAGGTTTTTGCTTGCTGTCTAGTATGTTAATTRCTTTGTTAAAGAAATACCAAACTACTTAAAATACTGCATTAATACATCTTTCTTAAGTGATAAGGATCAGCTGCCTTCGAAGAAAAAGAATTACTGTACCTTTAAGAATTGGTCATAGAGTTGCTTAATGGTTTTCAGTCTTTGACTCTGAACTATTCTTGCCTGTTGAAAAACTTTCTGTTGCTGACGAAGCATATTCTGAAACAGAAGCAAAAGAAAAACATAATTGCATCMGTTGTTAAACAAGTTGTTAACTGCTTGGACAGTATACCGATGTCATTTTCCCCAATCAGAAATTCTGCCTTCACTGGAAATCTGTGCCTTATAATGTGAATCTGCCTCCTGAGGTTTCTTGCAATGTAAATTATCCCTGTAAAATCCCTTGAGGATTGCTATCCTCCATAGTTTCTTAGGGTATCCCAGAGGAATGTCCTACCTGGGAAAAAAACAAAACTTGCAAATGCATTGAAAGTACAAACACAGCAACATCACATGATGTAATCAACATGATTACATTCCATTGTATAACTTCTATCCTTTCAGKGATCAAATTCTCTTAATGTTTACAGGCATATATACAGGCATATTTTTAAGCAATGCATGCTAAAAGAAAACTACTTTGCTTTATTCTTTTGTTCCTTGAGCCCAAAGATTATGGATGCACAGAAACAGCACACAGCTTTCTTCTCATTAAATGGCCTMGGCTTTTCTCAAGCCATATGCTGGCCTAGGGCATCACTTAGTAGTGTTTATAAACTTGCAATAAAGTTTATAAATGCACCCCTTTTCAGAAACTTAATCATATATTTCTGTTTAAACTACATCAAGTGATTTTACATTTCTTGAGTGACTTAACAACAATATTCCCTCCTTGTGAAAATATAGTGAAACTTGTGCCATGCTGGAAACTCACTGCTAGTTTTTCTTCCTGCTCCTCTGCTTTTTGCACATCTACATCCCATTGCTGAAATAAAGTCAGGAACTGCTGGGAGAACTCATGATTGAGCTTCTGCCTATAAACAGACACTGTAAGTATGATGAATGCTACAGGGAAAGCTAAGGTTCAACACACACATGGGATAGAATAAAAGCTGGCATAGATAAACAGGCTATTTTCTTATCTGACCCTATTTGAATACTATATGACTTGAAAAACTGATACTGAGTGGATGTAGAACATGTACATACATATAAATATATATAAATATTTCAGTTTGTTCTACCTCTAGTATCAGATGTAGTAATTAAATATGCCATAAGCAGTGTGAGGAATGTTATGCAAGATGAAAATTAGTTTCTTTCTTAACCAGAATGGTATTTAAGTTTTACTGCACATTTTTCAGTTTTCAAGTAGAAACAAAAAATTCCAAAGTAGAGGAAAAAAACCCCACACAGTTTTAAAAAACAAAAATAACATCAAAGGTCACTTTCCATAARGATAAAAGTAAGGCCAGCTTTTTAACATAACTTGCTCTCAGAGTTCCAAATCTTAAATTTCTCTGTTGTCTGAGAATGTGCTAAACTATTACTGTCAGATTAACAAAGTGGACAAAACTGGAGACAGCACAGGCCCTGAGCAGATATCTAACATTAGACACATTGCTTGCTATTTAATTGCAAGATGACAGACCAACTATCCATTCTGTGACACAGAAGGGAATCCAGTTCCACAGGTTTGAAAACCAAGAGTAAATGTCACCTTTGCTCCTGCTGCGTTTTCCAAACGTGTTCAATCTTCTGGTTACTGGTTTTGAGTGAGGCTTTTGTATACATTTCTAATCGTTTCCTCTTAGCTAAGAGAGCCTTGTTAATGTCAGCTAAAAGTCAAAGAATATTTAGAAATTAAGCATTGGATACATTGTGCCATTTATTAAAAATGCTGATGAGTTATGCTTTGGAGAAGCAAATGAGGTGTGTTAGAGTGTCCCTCAGCCTGCTGGGGTCACATTCACACCACTGCCACTCTAGATTTCTGCCTGTTCTCTAGATTTCTGCCTGTTCTCTAGATTTCTGCCTGTTCTCTAGATTTCTGCAAGTGCTAAGTGCAGACTGCTCTCTCATTCAGTATCACAACTAAACTGTACTTGCTTGGTGAGGAATTACAGCCAACTCTACAACTTTTATAAAATTTATTATAATGTAAATGTACTTACCTCCAAATCTCTCCAACATATTCTGTACTTCACCCCTACAAAATAATGTTTCAAATTTTTATTTGCCCATTTTCTGACTTTAGAGWAAGACCTGTTGTATATGCTTAAAACTAATTTTATTCACATGCCCATTACTTTTAAGCAGTAACAGAACTGCTACTGCCATAAGATAAAATAATTATACTCCTCTTCCTGTGAGAGGTTTCTTTTTCAGACAATTTGCTTTAGAAAAAAAAAAATCTAGAATCTGTTAGCTTGCTCCCCAGGAAAAAGGCAGTATTAGACACTTAAAGGATCTTGAGTCAGTCAAAGTCAGTAAAGGGGAGTCTCAGTAAATAAAATTGATTATTCCTATAATGAAGAAAATAAAAAGGGTATTTGAAACACCAAATGAAAACAGTCCATCTCAGTTAGCATGACTGGCATGACTGGTAAAAAATCCAAGGCAAATAATATCAGGGCTGTTTTTACAGCATCTTTAAGATATAACACCAGTGTGTAAGGCAATGTTACAGYAAAAACAGTATCTTCAACTCAACAGTTATAATCTGCTTGAAAACTATTTCAGCACGTACTTTTTTTCTTACATTTATACTGCTCATGAATATTAAATTTTGTAAGATTTATCTGTAAAAAGAAWTTATTTTTCATGCAATATTTGGATCATTTACAGTATTGGTAATAGCTTCAAACAACTTAAGTCATAGGAAAAGAAATTACTGGAATTTAATGAAATTATCAACAATGTAGGATAAAACAAATAGTATTTTAAAAGATATAAAAGAAGTCACACAAATATATAAAATTTTTCTGCACTTTAAAAGGTATCTACAAAGAAATTGAAAAACTACCATTTTAAAATGCTACATTTTCTTTTTTCTCCTAKAGTTACTGTATTATCTGTCACTTGATTTTTGAACCAAATATTAAAAAAAAAAACCAAACCAAACCCAAACAAAACAAAAATAAGCATAGTGAACAACTGAAGTTGGTATCTATTTAAGATCTGCTTATTTTAGAAAAGGCCCCTAAACATTTAACCTTACCCCACATCATCTGGAGCCACATGAGCAGTCACCAGAGGTCTTTTCTTTCCATGCTTGTCCATTACTGGTGTGTCACCTGAAGAAGTATTATAGAAATGTTTACAAAAATATATTTTGTGTTGGATGAGTTATTAATTCCTTTTCTGTAATGCCATTTTTTCCTGACTATGTCCCATGGAGCTCAGTTCCCATCAGTAACACCAACAGCTCTTAAAACTTTGAATGTGGAGTTGAGAGSTGGTGGTGAATTATTCTGTAAGGCCAGGTTTGAGCTGGCACTGCCTTGAGTTCCCTACATTGGTCCCAGTTTTACTTTATCCACTACTACACCATTACTCACAACTCACAATCTAACAATCATCAGAAAGCTAAAAATAACAAAWATATAGAAAAGCCCAATGTGTTAGAATTTAGTGTAAAGTAAGTACTGAAAGTCTGTACTCTACCCTTTAAAAAGCAAAATGATAAATAGATATATTATTTTGAAAAATCCTTGGTTGTCAGATTTCTGTTAATGAGGAAATTTACTCTAAATGAACAAAGGGGAGAAATTAATGAGAAATAAGCCTAGAGATAACTGCTGAAACACAAAAAGTCAGAAGTGGAGTTACATCAAACTTTACAGAAAACTGAACACGTGATGGTTGAGAACAGTATTTTTAAGCAAAGTCCACTTTTTTATGACATTCCCTTAAAAATTAAAACAAGAATTCCTCAGCCGATTTATTTTCTTTTTGCCTCAGCTTCCTCTACTTCTTCCTTTATTTTCTTTGGTTCAGATTCTTTCTGAAGTACTCTCAGCCCTGCCAGAACTCCACCAATTTTACCCTACTCAACATTCCATCCAAGAGCTCCTCTGCTCTGCCTTGCTCTCACAGCGTTCTGTGCAACCAGTGGACAGAAAGATTAATTAAGGCATTAAAATAAGATAACATAATCATGTAATAAAATTCTATTCTAATGAAGACTCCACCTGGAATTTCAAGACATAATGCACCATACAGAGCAGTTCTACTGGGCTCTCTTACAAAATTACACAAGAGGAACCTGGTGGTCTCAAGCACTATGGACGATGCTGACACAAAATTGTCTTCTATTTCCAGTCACAAATATGATAAACTTCACATYTTAAAAATGTGCTAAAAAAGTCATAGAAACACCTTCTCTAATATCTTCCTCTGATCCACTCAGTTCTTTTCTTTCCTCCTCAAAGTCATAAGCAGGTATGGTCTGATCTTCCTGTGCTGGTTTACCAGCTTTTCCTCCATGCTTTCTTCCTGATGGTGCCATAGTGAGATCTTTTCCTACTGAAACAGTATATTGTATTTGTCACATAACTTCCCCCACAATAAACTGAAAATTCATGTTTTCATGCTTACATGGACCTGTCATGGATATCTCTTTAAGAGTCTGCACCTGTGAAGATATAARAGCAGTCAAACTGGTTTAGTTTTGAGGCATTCCAGAGCATTACCCATCRGTGATGTTTTTAAGAACATGCTAAAAAATGCCAGGGCCATTATGAACATACTTGGTTAAAAAAAGGAAGAAAATTATTTTGTCAATTTCTTAGGATAACTGCCTGTTCAGCTTCCATAACATTTACTATACATTTTTTCATATCCAATACTGCATTCCCCAAAAGTTACACCAATATTCTATAGTCCAAAATAGAGAAATTACAAACCATAAAGAACAATGTGATGGAAGGCTACAAGCCCTCCCCACCCTGCAGAGACAAATGTATGTATACCTACACCATTTTTAAAAGTYCTGGGCAACTTCCGGGTTCTGATTTATCTTTCTTTATAGCTGTAATACCTCTGCCTTCTGTAATGTAAGTAATGCTATTTCTACATTGGAAAACACTTTACACATATACTACCCTCTTAAAAATTTAATAATTTATTTACTTTAGTAATACTAATTTTTATATATTGTGTATTTTTATAAATATTCAAGGAACAAAATATCTATTTAGAAGGCAAAGAACATAGTTGCAGTCACTAGATGCATGAGTGACAAAATATTTTTTCCCTCAGCATTTTATCAGCAACAGAAATAATATACAAATACAAAAAGAAATAATAAGCTACTGAATCCTTGCTGTATTATTTCTTTTCTTGTTATCTTTGTCTGATAGCACAAGCTATGAAGCATTTCAAGTTRTCACTTGACATTTTCTTTAACAAATTCTTCAAAAAATAACAGAATTCCGTGGAAGATGGAAAGACAGAAGAGATGCAAGTACCCTGTTTTGCAAACTGAGCAAAACAGGACTTGGCAGTGGGTWAACCTCTCATTCTAGACACAATTCAACACAGTTAGAAATATCAGTAGTTTTTCTACTAGGAACTCCATTAAGTATCTTTTGAATACCAAGGAGTGTGAAATTACCCCAGCATTAACACAGCTCAGCTTCCTGCTAGGGGAGGGGGGCTACGCTTCGTTATTTGTCAATACCTGTGAAAATGTATTTTTAATCCCAGATTCTATGGATCTATACAGCACGACCACACTATGCTGCATCAGGAACATTGCTTTTTAAGATCTGGCTTTTTCTGAGATTGATGCTTTTCTATGTAGTATGAAGATTTTTTGGACTTTGCAAGTATCTTGAAAAACAAGTGTCTTTATTGATTAGAAAATCAAAAGTCCTTGCATTAGAATTGTCCTTAAAGGAGAGAAAATTGTCAAGACCTAATCTGCTTTTTGACTGCTGCGACTGTTGAGAACATGATGTAAGGACAGTACCTGTCCATACAGCATCTCAACTTTGAACTGCAAACATATATTTTATCTGACATACTGACACTTTCCTTTRTGCTAAAATCAGTTTACAAAGTAGAACTTCTCAGTCCCTCTCACCCAGGTGTAAAAGAATCCTGCCCCCTTGCAACCCCCACACAGCTCTCACCCATCCCGTGTAAGTACCTGCATTAGCCAGTATGAGCGTCTTCAACCCACAGGTGTGTTTTAACGGCAAGTTTTAGAGAAACTCACCTCTTTTTCCACCCTGTCCCCAAAAAGTAATGAAACAAACCGGTACTTGTGTGAATTTCCTTTTTACCGTGGAGACGCACCTGTCTCTCCCTCAGAGCAGCTTTGGGCCCTCAGCCGGCGCAGCTTGGGGGGACACGGGGTTGGCAGGGAGAGGGTGCCYCGCAGAAAGAACTCCGCCTGCCCCAAACCCCTGTGACCCTGGCAGCCCTCACGCTCCTGCCGCGGCTCCGGCGGGCGAGAGGGGCGGTCGGGCGGGA